GATATGACTTCATGTTTTTAATATATTGTATCTTTCTTTCCAACGTTTAATTATTTTTTTGTAAATGGACTGAAGAAGATTTAGTACATTCAAAATATTTCGGATTAATTTATAGATAAAAACTAGTTTATTTTTAAAAATCCAATAAACGTTGCTCGTGTTTTTTGACCTTTTTAATTATTAAAATTGACAATATAATATATTATAGGATTGTACATATGATAACACAAACTAGAAATCAAAATCTTAAACGGTCCAGCTGGATCTTAAATGCTTGTATGATTCTGTGTAAATTTATATACTACGTATGTAGTCCTTTGAAACGCGGGCCAAAATGACTTTTCGGTCTTGAAACGCTAACTTTATTAAAGTATCGCAATAATATCATGAGTTAAATTGACTAGCAATTTAACAATTTGATGCTTTTTCGCCTTTTCGAACGATCTTAATAATGCTGACATATTAAAATCTGTAAATAATTAATTCTTATTGCGAAAACTATTACCTCGGCCGGGAGTCAAACCTGGATCTTTTTCTGGGCGAGTGTCCTGAGCCTTTAGACCAACGAAGCCTTAGTAATATTTCCACTAATTTCTTTAATTGTTTTCAAAAATATTATCATTTAAATAAGATTTTAATACCTACAATTTTCTTCGGAAAGAATCAACGTGACTAACTAATCGGTAATATTTTGGTCCGTCCCTTGCAGTTTTAAATTAAGAAGCCTAAGATGATTACTTATATCAGTAATAAAAGTGAGTAAGAAATGTGACATTTTCCAAAAAAGATATATATTCGTGAAATGAGTTTTTCATTTCTTTTAGGAAAAGAAGAAGTTTTCTTATTGCAAAAAATACTTCTAAATTTTACAGCATTAAACCAACGAAACTGGACAATGAAGTGGGACATCAGTGTAAACAGCATAAGAGGCTTGCAGGGATTTTTGAAAAGAAGAAGGAAAAAGAGGAATTAAACTTTCTTGATAAACTAATTTTAACCCTTCTATAACATTCAATTTTTCTGAATTTGAATAATTTAAATAATTTACCAAATGACGAGTTTTGAAATGCTTTTCTAACACATATTTTTTAACTACCAAAAGTTGAAAGCCGCAAAGTAAACAAATCATCCAATCTAAAATGTAACTAAAAAAGTAATTCTCAAGATTTATCAAAAACTTATACATACTTGTTTTTTTTCCATTCAAAGCTAATTTCTCAGAAGAATAATGAGATATAATTATCTTTTCACTATGGAATGATTTATCTTTTTACTGACTCTATCTGCTAATATGTATAATAACATCCGCTACGATTCAAAGAACTTCACAAGTAATATTTCACTGAATTTTAGTAATTTGATAGAATGAAGTTTCAGAACATTCTTAAGAAATTGAAATAAAGTTAATAATAAAAGAAGTATATCAACGTATGTCTTTGTGATTATTTGATTAATATAAATCTACAGAATTCTGCAAATACATATATTCTAATTTTACATACTTGGCTCTTGTCAAAAGCTTCCCATTGATTGCTGGCGTATTGAACAACATCTCTGATCAACGCGCTGAGTCTTTTCGCTAATTGTCTATATCTTGGTGAATCATACGACTTCAGACCTTGCTTCAAAAGTTTGACGAGTATGCCATAAAATGCAAAGAGACGCAACATGTGATGATCTGTGATAGCCTTCTCTTCCTGCTCATATTTGTCATTTTGACGCTGAATGAACAACACCTGCTCGAAGAGTTTATCAAATGGAATCTGATGAAGAAGAGAAATCAGATCACTCTCGAAGAGAATGGCGCCAACATTGGCGATATCTTCGTCCTCTTCACCCTCTTCATCTAACATTACCCACACTGTATCCTCTGGATTGTTTGTGGTGTCCTGCAAGGATACTTGTATCTGCATAGCAAATGTGGTTGAGAATATAAGAATTAAAGAAGTTAAAATGCTGATTTCTTAAAACGAATAATATTTTAATCTTACTTTTACCTGTTCCAGAAATTTATCTCGATCCTTGATTGGCAACAAAATTACTGCAAGAGTGGCAATCATATGATCAAGATATGGATCATTAAATGGCGAGGAACTCAATCCTGAAATTTTTGGCGGTACTGGCACTTGTATGAAAGACTTGGCCCAGTTCATCACACCACCAGGACATCGCATTGCGACCCTCAAGAGCACCGCTATCAGCTTTGACAACCACTCTCTGGTGTCTGTGACGAATTTGCCATCTTTGAGAATTCGACGCTGAAAGTTGAACAGGATAGTTATGCACATCCTGAGTTCGATCAATTGGGGAGCAGTTTGGGATGGTGATTGCTCTGGTAAAAGATTTGCTGAAGCAGTTTGTGAAAGATTAGCAAACTCCTGAAAGTAGAAAAAAAATTTGAACAATAATTGATTTTGAGCTATGTAAAGAATCAATCTATGGACGTGTAGATTGTAAGATTAATTCTTCACGTACTTTAATATATGACTTATCTTTTTAACTTATATCATTTTCCTTTGTCTGCACTAGTGCACACTGAGTGCATATTAAAGCTGTTGTATACTGATTTAAATCGTGTAGAAGTAAAATTCAAATATTTCGAATTATAAAATACAGATTTTACTTAACAGCAATAAAATGAGAATTTCATGGTTTAATCCATTTTTATATTAAACATACATCTTTATGTCAATTTGTGTAAACAGTTTTATATGTACTTGATGTGTGCTAGTGCAAGGAAAAACGCTATTAATTCAGATCGCATACATAGTTTGATTTAGCTGAATTTCAGAAATATTGAGAATTTTTTAATATTAATATTTTGATTTAAGTTTTGTTTTCAATGGAAAACAACTTACGTTAAAGCTTGTAGCGACTCTCTGTATGTAATGTTCAATTTGCAGACGCAATGACTCAGCCTCATAACAGTATAATGTTTGGCTATTGTGTAGTGTATCCTTAATAGCAGATAGTGTCCTGGAGAGCGCTATTAGAGTCTGCTGATTGAAATGAGCAACTGAATACTCATAAGTAGCAATGACGGGATTGCCATCTTGACACTCGCCATTTTCTGTCTCTGATGTCTTCTCTAGGCACCAAAGCTGCTTCTGCGTCTCTCGACAGCTCTTCTTCAGACGCTCCAACTCGTAAGAATTTGAGACCAAGTGATTTCGCACCCTCAGATAGCTCATTAGCAGGTCATACAATTTATGTTGCTGTTTTAGCAATGCACATCTTAATTGTGTTTCCGTAAACTCAGTAACAAAAGCATCTACTAATGTTAGCTCCTGATTGTAATATAAAGAAGCCAATTCCTGCTCTGTAAATGGTCTGACATCTTTAAATGCATTAATAGTATCTTTTTTAATATCTAAAACTTTGGTTTTCTTTGTCTTATGACATATAATCTTTTCTTTAATTGTATTTTCTTGAACTGTATGACTGGATCCTTCTGGGATAGTCGATATGTCTACCAGCTGAATTGTGGAAATACTTTCTTGCACTTGATCTATTTGATCATCTAAAGTGTTTTCAGACGTCAGGCAAGGTTGGACAGCGTCAATTTCATCACGAGAGTTTTCAGATAATAATACCTAAAAAATACAAGCACTAGTGCTTTATATCTTTTCACTTTTCAGTTTTTAAAAAAACATTCTGTATATATATATATATATATATATATA